CTCTGGCCCCAAATGTGCATAAGCTTCTAACCCAAATCTCCCCCTTTCAGTTGCTACTTTGACTTCAAAAATGATACTAAATTGTAGCTACAGTGGCTGTAAACGACCTGAGTTAACGATGTATTCCAGGATTGAGCTGCTAATTGACTTCCATTTGCAATTTTAGATAGCCGCTTAAGATAATGCTCGAATATCCGTTTGAAAAGTATAAGACTTAGGTGACCAATACACCTTACTCCATAACGGTAAGTAGACTAATTCACGAGCTGATTACAAGGAAAAATAGCTTTGTTAAATGATACAATATGTTACATGAAACACTACTATGTATAAAAATCAAAAATGAATGCGACCCTAATGCTATAGCAAATGACATTGTGGGAAAAAAACTACATTAAAATCTTCCCATCTTTTGAATGACTACAGAATAATCTGTCACCACTTTACAAAGATAACAGTTAAAATGGAAGAATTTGTCATGCAAGAAAACAAAATAATTATCCATGCTTTTCGTTGAATACTAAAATTCTAAAAATCATCTATTAAATGACAGTCACTATTCTATTTCCCATTCATCTTTTTCAACATTCATAGCCATAAACTGCATATATTCATTTGAATAAGAGGATTCTACGAAAATGTCCAAACAAAGGAAAATATCAATGTACCTAATGATAAGGTACATTGACAAAAACACCATGGAATGTATTATTAGAATGTGGTATCTTGTTAGGCCATAATTAGTTAGATAACCTTTTATTACCAAATACTTTAAAATAGTCACAGAATTTTCTTACGTCAGGATTTTACACTAAATGTCGTATAACAAATTGGGTGGTCATATGATGAAATATTGCATTGGAAAAATATTACGACAAAATTGCGTAAATAATAACTGTACTATGCATATTGAATCAGTAGTATAATGCATTATATAAAAACATTTTAAAACTATCTGAAACGATTCACTAGGTATTGCTTGCTTGAATCTTCCCATTGATATTTAGGACTGCAATTGATCAGTCTCTTATTGGCATATGTGCATACTGTGCGTATTGCCTTAAGTCATATGCATTATAAGCAAAGATCCGTCTTTACTTATTTGAAATAATGTTACATTTGATTATTAATCAGAAAACTGAGTAAATAGATTTCCATTATGGTACCCTAGTTCTCGCTTGAGGTTGTAAAGGTTCAAATTTACTAAACCCTCATATTGACCTACATGGAAAATAGACAGTTTTAATTTAATCTGTAGTAATTCGCCTACATTATATATATTCATTAATTCGTCACATTGTGTGCCTGCTAGTCGTTCGATGCGAGCTGTGCTTAAAGTAGATTGTTGCCACAACTTTATTTTACCTCCTGGAAATTATGTTGATAACGTGTGTCTGTTTCGTTAATATTACGAAGTATAGGAATGGTCTCGAAAATATTCTTCAACAGAAATTGGTAAATTGAGCATAAAAACAAAACGAAACTTTCTGCAATACAGCTGAAAATTGAAAATCAGTGTACATCGTGCTAATTCAAATTACGACAGTTCGATTATTATCATTGCCGTAACTATTGCACTCATATATTACCTCATAAACACTGTTGGACATACTTTAGCAGTATTAAAGATTACAAATAGCTACATTATACCTAAGATTGAAATATTGTTGCTGTTTGCTAAGTCTGTTCAATTTTATAACATCGTATCACTTACCATTCTCATTGTTACTGGCTGTATAGTACTTTCATATATATCTATATATTTGTGTATTACTGCCTATTTATAAACATGTATTTGAACAACGACTGATAAGTCTTTGTCACACTTCGTCCATGAGTGCTGTTAACATTTCCTTTCCTTCTTTTTAGGGCCTCAGACCCACAATATTGATTCGTCAGAATCAAAAATTACTTGATGTTCAATAGTGTTCATCTCCAAAAAATGAATTCGCTTATGCCAATTCACATTCCCCAGATGAAGCTGTGAATCACATACGTGACGTAATATTAAAGATAAACCGCGAAAAGTCATACGACGTTCCAGAGGCAGGGACCAAAGCCGCTTCTGTAACCTACTAGTGAACCATCAACCAGCAACTCAGTCAAATACAGACGGATGATATATCACCCTGAAGATTCTGAAACCTACAGCAAAATGACAACTACTGAGGCTAGGGTGACTTCCCAGGAAAGTTGTCCATCTTATATACAAGACCGAACAACAGGTGTAAAAACTTTCATTGACATCAGAGTATCGATCAATGTCATGCCACTCTAGATAGGAAGAGAAACACTGATGCCACGTTAGTATTCAGATGGACAAATACGTCTGATATTGTTATATCCCGACAGGAATAATGAATGGTAACTTTTGAGATCCATTTATAGACCAATACTATGCGTATATTTTTATCGTATAATTGTTAAGTGACTAAACTATTCATATTCGTGTTCCTCATATCATAAGCTTTATTATGACCAATGAACTGTTATTATACGATTTACTACTCTTGAGTTATGCCCTGTCTATCAACTACTATCTCCCTTATTCACAGCCACTTTTGGCTGAATATTGTACAAACTTTGCTTCCTATTTTATGGTACGGTGTGGTCTGTTTGGCTTGTATATGAACCCAGTATGTTTGGAATAAATGATTCATATCGCAGAGGTTGAGATTTGTGTTCTGGACTTAACAGGCTGGGCTAGGCGGGAAGCACGACCGATAAGTACTCTAGACTGCTCGTGCGGGTTTTATGCGTCATTAGTCCGATCGATAAGTCACTGTTCTCTAATTGGCGGTATCATTACGTTATACATTAATTGGGTACAAGTTATAACAGATAGAAAAATGCATGGGGCATGAAAATTAATGAACTTGGGCCCGTCATTTTGTTAGAATTTGTAGTGGCGGATGTGCTCGTACCCAAACTTAGTATAGATTTCCTGCAAGTGCTTAATTTATTGGTAGATCCAAAACAACATCAGCTTATAAACAAATGTCATGTGGAAACGATAAGAGGGGTCAGTACAGACTCATCACCGATGAATTCGGTAATGTGTTAAGGGTCTTCTAATCTATACGCTCCACCGCTAACAGAATTTTCCGATTTGACGGCAGTGATATAAGGAAGTAAACATTCCAAATATGAGGTACAGCACGATATCCTGATGAAAGTATCACCGAAAGATGTTAGAACCAGAAATACTGGAGATAGAGGAAGGTGATTTTGACAGATCAATGAACAAATGCATCATACGACTGCCTAGCAGCCCAGTAATCTCCGTTGTCTATGTCAACTAAGAAGGAGAAAATCTAACCACTTGGCGACTGTCAGGTCCTGAATAAACAAACCGTCGCAGATCGCTAGCCTGATCGTGTATTCATGGCATTAATAACAGTATATACGGTGCAGTAATATTATCGAAGACTGATATGGTACGTGCATATCATCATATCCCAATTGCTCTAGTTGATGTATAGAAAACAGCCATTACAACGTCATTTGGGTTGTACAAATTTTTAAGCATGCCATTCGAATTAACGAATAATGGTCAGACATTTCAATGGCATCGACCAGATAACTTGAGGTGTACCATTTATGTACGTCTACATTGACAATCTGGTAGTTACAAGTACGTCGGGAGAAAAACGTCTACAGTGCCTCAGACAAATATTCGCAAAACTAACTAAATATGGAGTGCTTATAAACCCCTGAGAAGTGTGTGCTGTAAGAAATAGTTGTATTGTAGTGAACAGAACACGGGTGGGGACAATCGAATATATTCAACAACAAATTACAAAACTAGTTAGTAAAATCCAACAACCATATATTAAATCGTTAATTTGCAAATTGTTCACCAATTGTCTCAAATGACTCAGAATCCCTTTGTTCTTGCATTTTCATACAAATTGCATTCTTTCTTGTTCGATCTTCTCGTCTCTCTGCTGCCAGACATTCTGTTCACTACTCACGTCATATACTACTTATGTCTACATAAGTAGCACACGCCACAGTATTACTTAGCTTATGAAATGGGTATGACAACTAACCCATCCGATTTAAAAGCAATTTTTTAGATTGGTAAATTTCTATGGGTGATTCATTTCAACCTGTGTTGCCCCATCTCAACCACTAACGTATATATTGCGAGGACATATGTGTACTTTCCATTTCTTGACGAAAGTCATACATGCATTTGAGATGCCAAAAAGTTACTAAACAAAAAGATTGCTGGTTCCAAAAAACAAGTCATTACTAGCTATAATGACGGATGCATCGAACGTGGCCATATTAGCCGTTTTATAACAGCCTTTCTTTCCTAAATTGAGATGTAGTACTTTTGGTTGGGAATCATTTAATATATATCTAGCAATAAAGCACTCTAGATACACACTTGAACGAATCAGCTTTACAGTACAGACTGAACATAAAACATTTACAAAAGCGTTAGATATCAGGTATGACAATTATTCAGAGATCCGGTATCTAGAGTTTATCTCTCAATTTGCGTTCAACATACGAAGGTAATAAGAATACAGTGGCTAATGCATTATCACGAACAAGTATGCATACATTCCAGTGTAATGATTCCAATTTACAGATGATAGAATGATTGCAAGGAGATAATGATGAAGTGCAGAGTTGGTTGACAAATGGACATACCTTGTTGAGATTAGAAAAACTACAGCTTACAGACACGACGAACATAATATATGACGACTCTACCAACCGACCAAGATAATTTGTCTTATCAACGTTACGAAGACAGATCCTCGATAAACTGCATAAGATTTCACACTGGTATTCGGACATCAATCAAACTAGTTAGAGATATGGATGACCCCGAATAAATGGTGACATATGACAATGAGCACAAACGTTTATAGTGTGCCAAAGGTCTGAAGTACATCGACATACTATTAAGCCTATTGGAAACATTAATGAGTTAGAACGTCGATTTTAAATTACTGTACATCATATACATATAAACATATAGCTTTTAAAAGTTTTACAATTTTATATTATTTTCTTTTGCCCCATGTGCCTACATTAACTTGCACGTAAATTTTAATTTTATGAAATTCTTTTGTGTACACTAATCATTTAAAAGTTTCAAGCTCAAAAGTCTCATATTATTTTGGTTCATTATCATATATAGAAATAGAAAATTTCAAACAGTGGACAAAGAATATAGATACAGACCAGTGTTCAAAAACAGTGTTTAATCGGACAGAATAACTATGATATACAGAAATTACTGAGATAAAAAAAATATGTATGAGTTTTACGAAGTGTCAAAATGTTATGATATCGGCATACTACACAAACATAATGTGGGTTGGCGTATAAGAACTTCATCGTGTTAATCTATTGTGCACGAATACATATTGAGTGATGTATTTCATTTTAAAACAAAACTAATGAAAATCTTATTTTCGCAAGTTCATTGAATTACGAAACAGCCAATTGCCGAGTTTGATATTAGACACGTATGAAGCTAGATAATTGAGCAAACAAGTTACTGACAGATAAAAAGCTTAAAATTACATAGTACATGAGTAAATAATTCAGAAAATTGTAATAAATTGTAATCATTATTATCGAAGGTATTGAAATGCTCGTTAACGTAATATTTGTTCCCAAAATGCATCGCGTTCAGCGGCGAAAGCTATAAACAAATGGATAGAGACGCAGTAGGTTGATTATTAGTTCCTAGACTGGGTAAGAACTTTTTTAATCAAGCAAGTTGTGCCATACAATGTTAACAAAGGAGCAGCGCACTATCCACCTTCGGCAATCTATACTGCCTAGATGAATTAGTCACCTTCCGCTGAAATAGTTGAAAATTCCATAGAGTTCTCTGTTGACCTGAGCGTCATTAATGATGGGCTAAGATCATCATCTATCTCATTAATTAGATCTTTCTGGTCAGCTAGTTCCTAAAATTTTATTCATGATGCCACTCATTTTTTCGAGAACTTAATAAAAATAATTGTCGTCTTTTAGAAACATGTTAATGACTTATTTGTATTTCTTCGTTAAAACTAGGAGCAATAGCTACTTGAACCTAAAAAGGAAATATGTCCAACCTCTTCTTTTGCCTGATGAAACTTCAGACCTGACAAGTCAATCATCATCTTAATTGTAAGATGACCTCATTTGACCAATGGCACATGGCCTTACCCGATGTAAATTCATAACCTACATTCATCTTATTGCTATTATAATTCACATGTTTCGTATCATTATTACTATTCTTGTAAACGTAAAGAATTTAATTAACTATCAACCTATTTCAATATCTCGTACTGAATTCATATCACTTTATGCATTACCCAGCCGTTAACCAAGCATTTGGTTTGATTAATAATTACATTATTATTTCTCTTATTTTATTTTATCTGAATTTACTTTTCATTATCAATCATCTCACGATTTCACTTAACATATAATTTAATTTAAGTGAACACTGAATAATAGTGATTTCAATATTAAATCTTATTTTATTTTTACAAACAATCGTAAACTTATATCAGTTTAGGGATTGTGGAGATTGTCAATTTTTTCATTGACATCATGAACCGATTGATGTTGGACCACCGTTGGAAACCTGGAAGCACTGGGTAGCCGTTTCGTCCTATTGTTGGACTCCTCAGTAGTGAGCATCCGCGGGATTCGAACCCAGGGCCTTCAGTCTCGTGCACGAAACGGCCGTCGCAATGCTTCCAGGTTTTCAATGATGGTCTAACATCAATCGGTTCATGATCTCAATCAAAAACTTGACAATCTGCCGAACCCCTAAACTGATAATTACAATGTGGTGAGAAGTCGTGACCAGTGGAGCTAATGTCGGGTAGAAACAGGTGTCTACCTCAGTACAATGGAAGATGGTCGCGCAACTTCGTGGATTGGTTGAGGTTAGACATTAATACCATTGGATTCCGGCTCAGTGGTCCAGTAGGTCAAGCGTTCGCGCGCAAGACTGAGGCCCTGGGTTCGAATCCTATAAGCGGGATCGTGGATGCGCACTGCTAAGGAGTCCCACAATAGGACGAGACGGCCGTCCAGTGCTTTTATTTTTATTTTTATTTCAACACATAGATATTGGTACAAGGAGGCACCAAATACATATGCGCCACACAGATCTCATTTGATAAGTGTGAGGGCTGTGATACTGCCCGGGTGCCCAAACCTAAGCAGGTGGTTTTCTTAGGGGGCCACTACCCGAGCCTTAGACCTGAATGTCTGACCCACAAGGCAGTGGAGCATCGTAAGGAGATGCAGTCCCATGGTAGCCGGTGACCAACGATTGGTTCACACGCCATTTGTTCCTTCAGGATACTGGGGCCCATGTGCACCATTGGTTTGGGATCCGGTTAAAGCGCCGGACATTCGCTTTTCGTCCTCTCATTTTCGTAAACAACACCTGTGTCACGAGAAGGCAGTGAGTAGGACTTCCCTGGCAGAGGCTATATACGCATGGCCATGTGAGAGCATTTAGAGAGGGTGAGCGGACTCTCCCCACTCTCGGCCGTACCAGGGCATTTGGGGGCGTCCAGTGCTTACATGTTTCCAATGGTGGTCTAACATCAACCGGTTCATGATCTCAAGTAAATTTATATAACCTAATCGTAAACGAAGTGTTGCTTTGCATTTGGTTTTGCTTTTGGGTTAGTAATTTGACTTTGTAGCGATGAGAATTTACTGAAAAGAATATTCTTTGTTTATATGACCCATGTTTTATTAATATGATGAAAATTAGTAAACAATTAAATATTATGTGCAAATATGATAGGTGGCTAACAGTGGAATTTAAGACGCGCATTCCGTCCTATTTGGGACTCGTATGCTGGATGCATCTGCATCCCGGAGTTGATGTTCACTCCGGGACCCAAACTCAGCACTGTTAGCTTCAAACGCTATAGTTTTATTCGCTTAGCTAGTAAGTCCTGATAACCACTTGCTTGTGAAATGGGGTAAAGTTTTAAATCCATTGTATTGTTTGTTTGAATCTTCCCATTGATGTTTAGGACCTCGATTGGTCAGGTACATCCAGCTGAGTCCTAAATAGGACGAAACGTGCGTCCTGAATTCCACTGCTAGCCACCAACCATCTTTGCTTATAATGCTTGTAAATTAAGACAATATCGAGGCAATCAGCACAGGATGCACACATGCCAATAAGAGACTAATCAATCGCAGTCCTAAACATCAATGAGAAGATTCAAACAAACAATACAAAATAAATTTAATAATTATGTGTAAACCAGAAATATGAATGATCTACTGAAGCATATTATAAACTTCTAATACCAACAAATAAGATGATGAAAGTGTTAAACTATGAAAAAACATTTTCTACTGTTTAACAATGTATAATCAATTTTTAAAAAATTCATATGAATTATATCTTATGTAGTACATAGATTCAATTATGAATATGTTAACCCTAAGAGTTATTTATGAACTAATAATAATAAAAATAGTAATAATAATAATAATAATAATAATAATAATAAACGCTCATCTATCGACTAAGTAAAATGTAGTTGATGATGTCAACAATTAAATGACACATTGATACTATACATAATATACAATACTTCACACAACTGCGACGACATGTCTATATATGACTGGTGAGTAAATTATAATTTACAACTTTTAAAACAGTCATTCAAAACCATAAAAAATATTTATATTTCCTAACTGTCTAATTATTACTCTCATTGTTTATGTGAGCACATGAATAAAATAAAATGATATGAATCGACAAATAGACGATGAGTATAGAAAGTTCACAAAATAAAACTATTGTCGTTCAGAAGAGGAAATGAAATTGTTTGAGGAATACAATTTTGTAGCCAATAAATTATTACCATACTACTACTCCTGCTACTAACTAATATTACTACTAGAAAGGTTTTTGAAGACTTTTCAATTTGAGATTTCGTTTTCTTGCGTCATGTTTTTCACTTTGTAAACTGAACTATTATGTATATATATATATATATATATATATATATATATATATATATGAACATTTCTTCCAAAAAAGAAAACACCAAAAGAATAAATTGAATTCGTCTAATTAGATTCATCCCATGGATTTAAAATAAATGTTTCATGAAATTTATTCAAAATATTCCCCAAGTTATTAGCACGATTTCTGTAAAGTAAAAATTAAAGAAAATTAATTGACAAATAGTTAATATCAGAAGGGGTTTTGTGGAGATTTTAGAAATTTTAATAACTGAAATCATGAGTTAATTGAAGCTAGACCATCATGGAAAACGGTTGAAGAGTCCCATAATAGAACGAAACGGTCGTCCAGTGCTTTCAGGTTTTCCATGATTGTCTAGCTTCAATTGACTCATGATTTGAACTATTGAAATAGTTAATAGTTGAATAAGCTCTATTATTTTCTAAACGAAAGTATAGCAACGAGGAATACATGGAAACAAAAGAGGTTCACCTTTAAAAGAATATAAATATTTGTAATGTGAGATTTAGGAGAAATGTGAACAGTTTAAGTGACTCTCCCTATTAAAAAATGGCCACATACAAAATATCGTTGTTTTTTTAACTTACTGTTTAATCATGATAACATGAAGATGTACGTACACATAGATGCTTTGATTGTCTATTACGCTTCAGTAAACTAGTTCGATGTTCACCTTATTTAATTGTTGTTACAGGACAGAATGAATTTATTTTTCCTATGGAGTGTGAATGATCACTAGTGTTGTGATGTAAAATCATTTCAATCAGAATTTTACACCATCTATAACTTTGATCATTTTATTTGGAATTCTCATTTTAAAGTTACTTAGAAATCATATTCTTTAAGACGCCGTAACCTTAAATTTATTATTATTATTATAACCAAGTAATCTGCATCAATTTGATCCACGCAGTAAACTGACGTACATTCTGTACTTATTTTTATAGCATATTGTTATTGTTATTATAAATACATCCCTTATTTGATATATTCCATATATCCCTTATACTTAAAACTACAATTATAAACGAATTCTAAAGAAGTGACAAGTAATTTAGGCTAATTGTAGGGAAGATTTTTTTTTGGAAACATAATGTTTTACACTATTAGCACAGTAGATAAAATAATACGTAATGACATAAAACAAAGAGTTCCATGTTCACACTCACATATCTATAGTGTAAGATCCATATATTCAACAGCTTAAAATACAATGTAATTAAATTACTCACTTAAGTTTCCTTGCTTCTGTAGTAATGAAATCCAGACGGTTAATATCATTATCCAATTGTTTTACTTCTTCAACTAAAGTATCACTGAAATTCTCCACTTCCGTGGACAACTTCTTATGAGCTAAATGTAACTCTCTTTTAGCCTAAGAAAATAAATAAAACATATCAACCACATATTTACAAACAAATTCAAAAGCGGATTAATACTAAAAACCTCTTTTGGGATTTAACTATACATTTATATCAAGGCTATAAATTATATCTGACTACTTAAAATTAGATAGAACAGAGTTTAAATTTACAGTTAAATAATTGAAAACTGACTGAGTAACTTAATTATTTAACTAACCACGAAAGAATAATAACTTAAACCCCAATAATAATAATAATAATAATAATAATAATAATAATAATAATAATTACACAGTGATAACAAGTAATTCCAAGAATAAAAGTGTATAGTGATATATGTATTAGGATGAATAAATAGGAATATTGATAAAGCAACTGGAAAAAAAGCTGGGCAATATGTTGTTCAGTGGAAGGATTTCTTAAAATTTAGATTTTCAAAAATTAAAATTACTCCAAATCTGCCGACAACTATGAGAGTTCTATACATTTACATCAAGTATATCAAAACAAAGTAGATGTTATCGCTATTATCAAATTATTTTTTACACTTACAATTATTCAGTGAACAAACCAAAGAATTTTTTTAAAACTTTACCACAAAACTTACTTGATGCCGAGCATTTGTACTAGTTAAATCAACAATTAAACGTAATTTATGTGAAGCGAAATCGACATATTGACGTTTGAAAGCAGCCTCTTTAGCTTTATTTGTCCAAGAAAGTCGTTCGTATAGATACAAACCACCGTATATTCCACAAGCCACCGCTAGAACTCGCCAACCAACAGCTTTAGACATCTAATATGGTTGGGTTTTTTTTCAACAAAAAAAGTAATGCTTGATTCAAAAACGTTTTTTGAAAAAATAAATGAACAGAAATCTACCATTACACTAAGAACTTTAGAAGGCAAAGTACTTAGGACAATATGAAAAAAGGATTTGGTAAATAAAGAAGGAACCAATTGAGCGAAGAAATTTCTTTTCAATTAGTTTTTCATCATGGCTCTACACTAATATATATATATATATATATATATATATATATATATATATATATATATATATATATATATATATATATAGCTAAGTGGATAACGCTATGGCATTTGAAGTGAACAAGACCGGGTTCGAGTCCCAGAGTGAACATCAACTCTGAGATGCAGGTACATCCAGCTGACGAGTCACAAACAGGACGAAACGCGTGTCCTGGATCCCACTGCTAGCCGCTATCCATCTTTGCAAATAAATGTTTGTATTGCTGTGCTAAACAAGCCGCGTTTTCATACCCTATCCAGACACATTGACCATTTGGAACAAAAGAAAATACACCTTTGTTGCCACAGAATGAGACGAATTTAAAGTAGTAAAATGAAATTCTCAATTTATAATTTCTAAATAATCTTATAGAAGAGTAATTTAATAAAACATAGATTGATTAGCTCCTTATAGGCAATTCCAATAGCACTTAAGAATATGTAAATATCAAAAGATGTTTATCACAAGCTATAAAAAAAATAAATTCATTCTGATTGACGTTCGCAATGAGCACGAGAGATTTAGATCTTAAATAAAATCTCTACCATCTTGAACAATGTGCTCAAAATTTATCAAGGAAGAAGCTATGGTGAAAAAAGTGGATAAACGTTTTATTCATATATCATATCATTTATATGTAAATAATGATAGCCAGAAAAAGAAATAAGAAACAAATAGTGAAATCTATTAGAACTATTCATTAAATTTGGAAATATATAAAGTAGAGAACATTGAATGAGTTATTAGAACTTATTATTCTTTCTATTCACAAAACACTGTAAATACAACACAATGTCAAGTGAATCAAAACTTACAATTCCAAAAACAATAACAGTACCAACAGCACTTCGGCTCATAAGAGAAGGGAATAAATCAACAGTCAACGAAGATCTGGGTAATATGGACGAGTTAACTAAACTAGAAGGAATCCCATCAGATTGTGTCCAATGGTACTGAAATTAAGATAAATAAGAAACATCGACTACCTGATTATACATTAAACAACTAAACACGTTTACATATAATTAGTATTTTACTGATACGAGATCATTTAAAACGTAAACATATTAAATTGAGATAAAACATTTAAACATGATCGTAAAACATGGAAAATTCTAAATATTTGTCATTAAATAACATAATTCCTTAGTTAATTAAGCAAAATACTAATTACTTAGTATTATCTAGATTTATAATCACAACTATAGACCGACATAGTACTGTAGTGAATGAGAACTCAGGTGAGGAAAACCAATTTATTGTTTTATGCAAAATTATACAGTGCTTTCGTAAAATCTAAAAATCATACATTAAATACATTATTTGCACATCTTCCTTCAGTTGTCCAGTATAAACCTCTTCATTCTTTTAATTCGGTTGTTATTACAATTGCTCTCTGCTTATCTCCCTGTTCTCTTTAATTCAAATCTTCTGGCAGACATTCCACTTCCGACTGGCGCTACATACTACTTATATTTGTCAGTATAAGTAGCATACAATACAGTACAACTCATGACACCGAGTTACATTCAGTGATACAAGTTTTTTTTAATTTCAAAATCGCTTGTCAATAAGTATATCAATCCTTTAAAATGGAGATGTGTATATGAGCAACATAATGATATTAATCAGAATAACATGGGCACCTTATCAATAATAGATAACAATATGCTAGATATAAGAAGACTTAAAAGAAGGAACTTCGATAAATGGCAGCCAAGTGACATTATTGGATTGTTGTCCGTTTTTTGTGTGGTAATAAACTTACGTTCTAGTTAAACTAGTCACGCGTTCCTGATCTGAGTTGTGTTGTAATCCTGTAGAATAGACACTGGAAGGGTATCTAGTGTAGATATTCGTCTAAGACAAATTGGCATCCAATTCGTGTAAACGAGGAAAACTGAGCTTTATAACAAATCTCAAAAAAACCCTCAAATTCTTTTTCTTTTACCATTATCGAATTAAATCCCTACTAAAATTTTAGGACATTATTCAATGATGTGTTTCTGTGAGAGGACTTTGGAAAACATAATGATGAGTTAATAAAGACAAATTAAATTATCAGAATTATGCATATAAAACAATTATGGATTCGTATATTTTTCAAAGGAAATGTCTATAAATCGTTTACTTAGTTAACTGATACCTTGTCTTTCAAAAAAGTTGCACAGGAAAAAAGAACGGTGTACAAATGTAATCATTTTTTAAAATAAACTGGAAGTGATAGTAAGTGGAAGTTTTAGTGCAGAAAAAAGTCTTCCAGTTATTAGCAACCTTAAAAACAATCTAATTAATTTGTTGAAGTGTTGAAGCGTACCGCGTTTTAACAAACAGGGACATTTTCTAAATTACACATTTTGTTTAAGGGCTACTGATTCTGTTTAGCTGTTTGAAATCAAATAGTTGACATGATAATGGAAGGTGTGGTTAAAAATTAAATGTTTTAACGAGCAAGTCACCACGTTTTACATTACGTATAACGACTAAAAAATTCCATTTTTTCATTTAACGAAATAACTATACAGTGACAGAAAACTTACACTATTTGTCGAACGACGTGGGGCTGATAACCGTTGGAACAGCGTTCCCAAACTAAGAGAAAAACGAAACTGAATATCTTCGCGAAAATTTGCACACAAATTACGACAATCAAGATGAAATTCCGGAGTAAACGCAGTAGGATCAACTAGCTGAAGTATACGATTTTTACAAGCTTCGTCTGAAACAATTGCCGCATGTTTATCTGAAATGAAAAAGAGTAAAAGCCAATTTAAAAAATTATACATCATGAAAAATATAGGGATTTTGTCGAATGCGGTGAAAACCTGGTATTTCACATTACTATTTATTTGAATGATAGAATTTTAAATCTTTCGGACAAACGAGTATTACCCTACATCTTCAACTTTGATAATGACTATGTTGGATCAACTTTACCACTTCACATACGAATAAATCACGTAAATATTTAGAAATAAATTGTGTTATCATATTGGACTTTAATAATGAAGAGCAGTAAACAAACAGCTATATGAGAGCTTAACAGGTCAAGTGTTTAACAATTTCTAGTCTACATTTGGAGGTATTTACAATAAGAGCATTTAGTGAGTTATGTAGCTATTATAATTCACAATGAGGACTCTAATGTGTATACAAGAACGTTATTTTTCAACAGTAACAATTAATTTCATCACACAAATACGCATATGAAAATGAAAAGACTTAATTTTTGCTTAATAATTTTCAAGTCGATTAGCAGTACTCAAAGACGGTACTGCAAAAAAACGTGGACACTATGAATTACTATTATGGTGTGAAGCCACCGACTATTAACACATGAATGAATGAAGTTGCAAGTTTCAAGAAATTTGTTACTCTTAATTAACATTCAAATTTGTAAAAAAAACTTACTCATCATTAACTGTTCACATCGAGCAACTTCATTAAGAATATCACTAGAACAAGCTTCAGTAAGTTTTCTGCCTAATTCACGTTCAACATGAGTATTTAGTTCCCGCTTGTATACGTGAATCAAAGCTGGATCTGGATGGAAAGGACGCGAATAACTATCGACAAGTTCACTCAAACGTCGAATTTCAGCATTTAATGCACTAGCCACTTGAGCTTCAACACGTGCCAAACTAGCATGAAGCATTTCATCTACAGCTTGAGTTGTCTTCATCAACCGGGCACGTACCTCTTCAAGATGTGCTTGAGAAAGACGACGACAGCGAACAGCAGCATCTCTAAAACAGAAAAAAAATGTGATGAAAATTCATAACAACAAACATATGATAACCAATATGGCTATAAATAAAAAATGACTTTAACTTTGTCAATAAAAGTATACTCATAAGACTAGTTAACTCGTTAAAATAAACAGCTTTCTGAAAGTCAGAACACGTAAAATATTCTAAATAAAATAACTTAAGATGATCTAAAGGTATGATTGAATGCAAAGTAATACTGCTAGGAAGTCCAAATTATCACGTTCAGGTGAAAACAACGTAATACTCGACTCGAATGTGTTTCGATTCAAGTTATTAAATGTTAAACTGTTATAGAGAAGAGAAAATAATAACAGAAAATGTGAATAAACGAAAATAGTGTCAACAGCAGTGAAAAACTAAACCATCAAAAACTGATAGGATTGATAGACGTAGCCTAAGCATAACATATTTAACTACTCATTAATATGAGGATCAAAATAAAGAAAATGTTGCACAAACGATGCTACACTTAATATTAGATAAAGTTAATAAAGAGAATGAAATAGATCAGAATTCAATAAATTTTTACAGCCTATAATCAATGTTAATAATCTTTTTCATAATGATGATAAATGTGGAAAAGAGTACAAAATAAAGAAATACGCAAGTATAACCACTAACAACATAAAATATCGAACAAAAATCTTAATTAAAATAAAACCAAAATGTTAACAATTAAATAATACTGACTTTTCTTCAACTGTTGTCTCATAGATATTTTCCATGATTGTACGAACTCTATTCACTACATCCTTGCCTTGTTCAGAATGAGCTGCAAATTTTGTACGAGTAGCAGACTCTGAAAGATTTTTCTATGTAAAAGAAAACAAAATAAATTCACAAGAAGTGATTTATTAGTAATACTGGAGTTCAATAAGTCATAAATTACAAGTCATTATATGTGAATATTATATTTAAAATAATCTCAAGTGTTACTATAATTAAATTTGAATGCATTTGAACACGATACATACATAAATATGCTAATCTGTTTCTAATGTGATCAATTCAAAACATTAATCCCTTGATTGTTAACATTCTTTTATATTGCAATAGTTTACTTTCTATCAACTGATTATTTACATCGGAAAGTTGATGATGACTTCACCCAGAACTCGTCAAATACCATTCTTCAATTTGGATTTGTATAATTCAAGTGAAATTTAAGTTAAAGTGCACGAGGGTGACTATCGAGGGGAAGAATGCTCTGAGATTACTCATGAGTGGTACGAAAGTAAATTGGACCTATAACCCTATGGTTAAAATTGATTTTTCTTTTCTTTGAACAATAGAGGCATACGTACTATAGATAAAATTCACTAATGCACGATTTTCAAGACAGTTAATCATGGTAGCATATACAAAATTCACTACAAATTGATCTCCCCATACAGATAGGGAAATAAAAATATATCAAATAAATTTAAATGTAACTAGTTAACCCAATACAATTAGGAATTTAGAAACTTAAAGCAATAAAAGTAACAATCCTATATCGACAATAACGGATCGTAGAAAGTTCATTTAAATACATTTAGACAAACTGAAATAAAGTAGCTTATGTGACGACTACAGGTTAATGCACTCGACTGACACCAGTCAGTTTTTCCAAAGGAATTAGATGAAGGGATGTTAGAATCTGAAACACAGTCGTTTGAAGTCGAATGTTATGACCATTAAGACACTGTTCCATGTACTGTAAACCCTTTAAAGAATTTTTTAAAAAACTAGGAACCTAACAGCATGTACGAAAACCAAGTTATAAACTATACTTGGTGTATGGTAATTACTTAGCTGTTCAATCTAAATAAATACAATGTAGTTGAAAATCCGAGTCCTATAGTTGAAAATTCAGTGTCTGAAACCCACTGAATCACAACAGTATCATGATTATAAGGCCCGATATACAACGAGTGATTATTGCATCAAATGAAATCATATTGATCATCACAAATGGAGAATAAAACAGAAAAGCACATACAACAAAACATAAAACATAAAAACTGTCACAAATGGATTACTACAATGCATAAATAGGGAGTAGAAAGAAAATTTGACCACCACTAACCTCAAAAACAGTTTCGAAATTTGTAAACTCCACGAGTCTGTCTTGCCAACCCTCAGCCATATAGGCCACTAAAAAAAATCCAATGTAATGTCACAAAATTATTAGAGTGACTAATATCGATATGGTAGTTGTAAATAAACAACCAAGTTATTTGCCGTAAATTTCAAATATTGAGATTATCCATTTAGTTTCGAGAACCTATAACTGACAGACGATTGGTCGAATTTTTCTTAACTTTGACGACGTAATAATGACGTGTTTTCTCCGATTATGGACAGTTAATAGTCTCAATAGGACGTGAAGAGAAACGTATTGAATTTATATTTTTATGTCATTCATTATTAGAATAAGAAATCCATAAGAGCTGGTTAATGTTTTATTTGCTCTAAACTAATAAGTAGTGATTTTAACTATACACTGAACGACAATGACCAGCTCCTTATTCACAAAGGGATTTCCAATCATATATATATATATATATATATATATATATATATATAGAGAGAGAGAGAGAGAGAGAGAGAGAGAGAGATTATGGGATAACCAGACGACATAGGGGACTATGAAGACAATTCAAATAGTTACGGAACCGATGAGATACAAATTGGAAGTGGTTGAAATGAGTGAAAACCATTGGAACTAAGATAGATAGAACAGGGGGGATTTATCAGAGATGCCACTGTACTTTGATCATGAAAAACAAAATGCTTCGCTCACACAGGGAGCTGCACTGATGATATGGACTGGAAGAGAGGGACAAGAATGACGACTTTCAGACTGATGTTCCTTCAATAAAATCATCATAAGTGACCCCATATTCCCCCACAAACGCATACACAAATCTACATGGATCTCACTGGATCACAATACAGAGAACCAGATCGAACATAATTGCGTCATTACAAACTTCAGAAGATACACGCAAGACGTGAGAACCAAGAGCAAAACCGACAAGTAGAAATGCGTGGAAGACCTAGCAATGACAGAGGAATAAGCTAAAGGAGAAAAAAATCAGAGACAAATATATAACACAACGAAGAAACTGGTAGGGAAATATGGTAAACCAGAGAGACCGGTCAAGGACAATGAAGGCAAACCAATCACCGAGATTCAAGAACAGTGGAACAGGTGGGCAGATCACATTGAAGAACTCGTGAGTAGACCGGCCCCAATGAACCTATCAGACATCGAAGTAGCATACACTAACCTCCCTGTACATGCCACTTCAACAAACGAAGAAATCACGATAGCCATCAGACAAATCAACAGTGAGAAAGCAGCACGACCTGACAACATACCACCTGGAGTACTGAAGTTAAACACAAGATCGACTGCAAAGATCCTCCACATTCTCTCAAGAGAGTACTGCGAAGAACAAGTACCACAGACAGATTAGAAAGAAGCACACCTCATCAAGATACCACAGAAAGATCTCGGCAAATGTGAGAACTACACAGGCATCACATTACTATCGGTACTAGCAAAAGTTTTCAACAAACTGATGCTTGACCACATGAAATATTCAATAGATGCCCAACAACCAGATCAACAGACCAGATTCCGTGAGGATCGGTCATGCACAGACCAAATCGCGACACTACGGACCATCGTTGAACAGTCAATTAAGTGGAACTCGTCACTACACACTAACTCCCTTGATTATGAGACGGCATTCGACAGTGTGGATAGGAGGACTTTATGGAATTCTCTTTGACACTATGGAGTGAGTAGCTGAGAACATCGTCAACATCATCCGGAATTCATACGACGGACCACACTGCAAGGTCGTGCATGGAGGACGGCTAACAGATGCATCCCAAGTGAGAATCAGTGTCAGACAAGGCTGCTCAGTCTCCCCCTTCCTCTTTCTTCTGGTTTATGAAGACCTCTACATGTGAGGGGAAGCATGAAATACAATGGACAGGTTGGATGCAGCTAGGTGATCTGCACTTCTCAGATGACCTAGGGAGGTGAAGACAACCATTTAAAATCTTGCAAAATCCTAGAAGGTGTTATCTTATCAGATACTAACCATCTACTTCATCCTCCTAGTACATCTCCTGGGGAAACGAGGCGCCAATACATTACAATCTATGCACGCAAGCAAATATGCTATGTGACGAATAGGCTGTTACAGCTGACCTAGCCAATAACCTGTATTATTCAGCAGGTTTTTAATTAAAAGTTTCACACATTCTAGTCTTGTTAAAACATTTGATTTGATTCCAGGTAGTGTATTGACTTACGTACCTGGGCAGCATCATCAGTAAACAAGGAGGTCAGGATGCAGATATAAAGGCATGGATTGGCAAAGCAACAACAGCACTCCTATAATCGAAGAAAATATGAAAGTCAAAACAACTGTCAACCAATATCAAAGTCGGAATCTTCAATTAAAACGACAGGACAGTTCAATTGTATGAAGACTAAACTTGGAGAACTAATACAATCATTATTATTATTATTATTATTATCAACGAAAATGTACAGGTATTTATTGACAATTGACTACACTAAATAATCCATGTCCGCCGGTCGGATACCATCAGCAACAACCTACTAAAAAGAGAACAAACCAACTTCCAGATGAAAATGAAATCAGGAGAAGATTAAAGAGGTGAATAGGACGTACATTGAGGAAATCATCAGACTGCATCACGAAACAAGTCCTATGTTGGAATCCTGAAGGGGGAAAGAAAAATAGAAGACCAAGGGATACCTTGCATCGGGAATTAGAAGCAGATATGAAAAGAAGGAATAGCAACTGGAAAGGGTTGCCCAAAACAGAGTTCGATGGAGAGTGCTGGTGGGAAGCCTATGCCACTCCAGAAAGAGTAATATGTGCAAGTAAGTTTGTTACTAATATGGTCAAAAAAGTTGATTGCCATCATTCTCCACAGATAGTGAAAAACTCATGAAACAATGAGTCTTCAAGAGAAGGAAGTCTTTGTTCAGTTTCTGAATTTATTGGTCATATATTTATACTTTCCCGAATGTTTGAACACAATCACATGCATTACAAGCCAGCTACTTCTAAGTTTCGTGACATAATTATGTTTTCAAACTGTTCGATAGGATGGTACTCTGGATGTACAGAAAAAACGTATCTGATAAGTTTATTAACATCAAGTCCAGAAGAGTAATATTTTAGCACTAATGTTTCTCAAAACCGAATAAATAAATATAAGCTTGATAAGAAAGCACTAATGATAGTAGCCCACCTGTTGACAAAGGAGACCCAATACTTGTAGCTGCTCCAGGAGGACCTGAATGTGGATCTCCACCTAAATTCGCTTTTGTTCTCATTGCTAAAACTTCACGAGCTGAAACGAAGAAAACATGTCCCTCTGCCTCTGTACGTGTGCACACTTTTAATTCATCAACAAGAAACGCTACACAACGTTGCAGGTGTTGTTCACGTACCTAAAAAGATAAATAATTTAAGTAAAATTATGATAATTTAGAAAGTAATATTCTTGAATATTCTAGTGTGGGAAAATCGGGATAATGTAGATGAAATCTACATATGTAAATTTTTATTGTGCTGAGAAAGTTATGGAGTAAAAAGATGGGTCAAACCATATAGATACCATTACCTAAGTTGGGAAATTTAGCTACTGAGTTATGGCCTATGGTTCCAATCACGCTAAGAATACGGCCTTTATCCTTCGATGAAGTTGAAAGATGGTCGCATTATATCGCGAATAGACGAAAGTTGAAAATCTTAACTATTAAACGTCAGACTCAGTGACTAGATAGTATGCTCATCGCCAGACCTGAAGGTCATGTTACAACGCGTATGTGATTCTTAAGAGTCTCGAACAAGGAGAAAACAGCTCCTCCATGAATCTTGATTTCCACTGAGTTACTGATTGATGTTGATCCATCACAAAATTTTATTGACAAAGGGGTGTTTATAAACTTCAATCACGTTACTGTAGATCTTATAAAAAGGAAATAGTCATTATTATTATTTGTCTTTCTAGCATAACTCTCCCCTCCCTGAAAAAACCCTTTATAAAAGTGAGTCTTAATGATCTTGTTGTGACTAAGCTTAATTAAACATTTCTTAATGGACTCCCAATAAGTATTCGAAAGTTTAGAAAATAAAACAAGAAAAATGTACACATACCTCATTAATATATTCAATTTCGTTTGCTGAAGCATCCCAACGATTATTAATGATAAAAATATTTGGTTTTGATAACTTCTGACTGACTTTATGGAAGAAATCTTTCTCCTGAAAAATTTAGTACACAAGAAGAACTTTTATCTGAGGGGAAAAACGAATTCCGGTCACTTATTTAAGATATTTGAAACAAGTAGTGGAGATTAAGGCTTTTCTACAAAAAAAATTCAAATAAAATACGATTCATTTAGCAAGGTGCAAGTTTATATACTCCACCTTCAGATACGCTTTCAGTGTAAGAGTTAATTACACTAACCGAATGATCAAATGAAATTGGTTAGAACGGAATTCAGATTTACACAATAACAGCTGAAAAGTTTGATGTTTTAACTATTAGATTACTATAATCTTTGGCTTTAAAAAATTTATTAAAATGATTAGCAATACAGAACAAACTGAAATCGTACAGTGTCCTATAAAAATAACTCAAAGTAACATTCACAGTGCGTTTTAAATTATCGATAATGAAACTAATACTAATCTTTATAATAGTTAATTTAAAATTAAATAACCTTCAAGTACATATATAGCACTATGACCATATCATTTTGTACATTAGAAGATATACAACCGTATTGATCTTGGTAAAATTAGCCCCTTCTTTAGATTCTCTATCTCTACAACCTCATTGTTATTGTGTGGTGCATACGTATTTGGTGCCACTTTTGTACCAATGTGTTCAAATAAATAAATAAATTACCAATCAAAATAAAATATGTGAATTACTTACAGCTTGCATTAATGTTGACTCAGCATTAGCAACAAGAATGAAAACATCCGCATCCAAACAGTGAAGATCAATCCATCTATCCATATCTGGATCAACATTAATCCCTGGACTATCTAGTAGAACAACATCTTCACGTAACAGCCTACAATATGAACTTGGCCAGAATATTTTTAGTAGTGTATCTGTGGAAAGTTTGACATTGCTTAATGCATGAGCTAACTGACCAACGGAATCAATAGAACGAGCCTGAGTAAAGAAAAATTAACTTGATTAAGAGATTGTGCCAGTACAACGGGGACTATTTTAATTATTGGGTCGACTTAGCAATAGATTTAAGTAGTAAGTTATGAATCAGATATTTCAGAAAATTATACGTTCCACGCAAGTAAATGAATACAAATCTTTTTTAGGATTATCGTGCTATACTCCTATTTTTCCAGAATGGTAGAAGATAAATGATGAATGAATCTGCGCTACTGTACATGGTTCTACAATGTCACTTAACGCCTCCAACCACTGATTAGAGTTGTCGCGAAGAACTAACTATGTAGCTTGCACCTATCAACAGCAGTCAATGATTGTATGGACTGATAACGCCTTGATATGTCCCACTGTAAATTTCTTCCAACCTATTCCTATCTCATTGAGATAGGTGAATTAAAATAAGCCTCAAGTAGAAAACTAAAAGTTGTAAGATGAATGATAGAATATAGAATTCTAGTACACCTACAAAACTAAAACAAGTTTTAAGACAAAAATATTTATATTTCAGACTATCCACTAAAATTTAATCGACTTCCCATTAAAACAGCAAAATAAAAGTCATCTTTCAAAAGTGTTAATTAAATTAAAGAGGAAGAATGTAATTATGAAATCTCAGTGAATGAATTTAAAGCAATGACAACGTTTCACCCGACAATCTGGTCTGAGCTTTTTCAAGGAAATATAATCAAACATCAAAATTATCGAATATAAATAGGTACATGGTTCTCCGGTTCACTTTATATTGAATATATCATCCAATCAATGTAAACAATGTTTAAAGTAGGTATTTGCATTAGTGTGTAAGAGACTGTTGTGGTAATCCAGAAATTTTCTCGCAAAAGACAAGCAAGGATCAGGAAACACTAAGAAGCATTTCACTGAATCAGCGTTCACTTGAAGTTTTAGCCAGAAACATCAAGGAAATGAAACGTCACATACAGAGGTTCTGATTAGCTGATTGTTATACTGATACTATGTTTAGTAGCATTCCAGAATCTTCGAGCGACCCAATGACATTTAAAATATTATAAAAACCCTATATTTTCTGTATTAAAATGAGCCTTGGAGTAAAGTACTTTTCGCATAATTTGCGCCTTTTCTCTCGTGTTTAGGTCGCTGTATAGTTCTAGCTTGGGGGTTTCAAGAATAGCTTAGGAACCGAGTATAGCGTTCAAATTGCAAGACTTATCAGAAACGTGTTAAGATAAAAGATTGTGTGTATATGTAAGCGGTGTGAGAAATTTCATTTACTATACATTGTCTCTGGTCGGTGAATTTTAAGAAAACATGATTTTTATAAATGATATGAATCAAAAGTGTCACAGCATGCATAAAATGAGGATAAATAAACAAGATAAAGGGATGAATCCAAAGAGGAAGAATGTATTTGTAACTGAATGTTCGTATTATTTTAATGTTCCAGTCAATTGTTTAACATATTCAAATAAGACAACTGATTAGAACCGTTAAATGTAATTGCTGTTATTCAGATAATGCACACTAATGCAAATACCTACTTTGAACACTGCTAACATTGATTGGATGATATATTCAGCATACGGTGATTGTTTGATTATATTTCCTTGAAAAAGCTCGGACCAGATTGTCGGGTGGAACGTTGGCTTTACTTTAAATTCATTCGCTGAGATTTTACAAATACATTCTCCCTTTTTAATGTTTCACATCAACTCGACGCCCAAATACTTAAATGCTAATTAAATATTTAATCAAACCTGGTGAGAAATATCTGACGTTTCTTTAGCATCGGTATCAGAATCAGCCATTAGAAGATATCCTGAGTCCTGATCCGTCCCCTGGATTTCAAGGAAACAACTGGTGGTGTGACCCAAACCAGAAGGTAACAATTTTGAACCCAACATCGCGTTGATAACAGTACTCTTTCCATTTGATGTTCTATACGTAAAAAGATAAAAATTACAATACACCCGAATTATATCAAAACTGAGCACTAGAGTGAATAAAAAACATGTTTACCGATCCCTAAAACGACTTTATTTTGATTATTTTTCCAAGTGAACTCCAGTAGAGGCATTATCCTGATAAAGACAAACTATCGGCCTAGTGAAAATAAAGATTATTTATCTACTACTAACTAATGATAGCCTTGTAAGTGATTAGTTCCTTTTAAAAAAGGGCAATATTATTACTAGTATATGATCATTAATCATACCGTGACCCACCCTGTGACACGAATAAGGACATTGTTGGGCTTGGCCATAATCTGAGATGGGTATCTAAGTCAGTCAGTCACAATGTAAAACCTAGTACAAATGTCAGTCAGTCAATCAATCAGCTGCAACGTAGGACCAGGCACGTATATGCATCGGTCCAAGTTGCCATACCGCATTAGCACAACAAGATGAACACCGGATTCATAGAAGTAGTTAATTCAGTGGTGGTAATATATAGAAGAAAGAGTGTGTATAAGGAGATAGTACAGGAAGATAGAATTAGTTCGTAGAAAGAAAGATTTGAAGTGATTTTAATCTCTTAGTTTAAAGGAAGACAGAGAGTGTATACACCGACGCCATTGTGATCGATTCTGAGCCATGTCACCAAGAGTCTCCAACCATTGGTTACGATAGTCACGCGGACCCCAACCAGGTAGTATGAATCTACCAACATGGCTCAGACCAGAAGTTAGTGACTTCAAGCACTGATGCCACGTTTTGGTTTGGCCGCCCCTAACTTTCTTCCAATCATCCCCAACACCGGTTACCATTGCCCGCCGTGGTAATCGGTGTTCAGGCATACGCAGCACGTGGCCCAACCATCTCAGTCGATGAAGATTCATAACCTCATCAACTGATTTACCATCATTCCCTAATATCCTGCGTCCAACCTCACTATTACTTATCCGGTGATCCCAGCAGATACCCGCAATATTTCTAAGGCACCTGTGGTCAAATACTAGTAACTTACAAATATCTTCTACTCTTAAAGGCCAAGTTTCGCAGCCGTATAGTAGAACGGAACGAACTGTCGCGCAGTATACTCGTCCCTTAATTGATAGACGGATATCTCGCCTTCGCCATAGATGACGTAAGTTGGCAAAGGCCAAGCGAGCTTTTCGAATCCGTGCTGAGATTTCGTCAGACACCAACCCATTAGGGCTGATCAGACTTCCAAGATAAGTGAAGTTGTCAACGCGTTCGACTACTTCACCCCCTATCCTTAGTTCAGGTGTTGACGCAGACAAGTCCTGAAGCAACAACTTGCATTTGGAGGGAGAGAAGCGCATCCCAAACATTCTTGCATTGTTGCACAGTGCTACCAAAAGACTTTGCATTTCATCAGTGTCTTCACCAAACAGGACTATGTCATCTGCGTATTCTAAGTCAATAAGTGGACCTCCTGGTAGGAGATCAATACCTGAGAATTCAGTCGATGAGAGCGTTATTTCCATCAGTAGATCTATGATGAAGTTAAACAAAAATGGAGAAAGTGGACAGCCTTGACGGACGCCACTCGAGGTTGCGAAAGCAGATGACAGTTCGCCATAAGCTCTCACTCGACTAGTAGTGTTCGAGTAAAGAGCCTTCACAAGGTTTATGTACTTCTAAGGTACGCCTTTCAATGACAGACACTGCCACAGAACCTCTCGGTCAACAGAGTCGAACGCTGCTTTTAAATCAAGGAAGACCACCATTGTCGGACTCCGATAAGTATGCCTGTGTTCTAGAACCTGTCGAATGGTGAATATGTGGTCGATGCAGCCACGACCAGGTCTGAAGCCAACTTGATTTTCTCGTGTTTGCAGTTCACGAGTCTTAGTTAGGCGTCCGAAAACTATCGAAGCTAGTATTTTAGATACTATATTAGTCAAACTAATCCCTCTGTGGTTGTCACAGGATGATTTTGACCCTTTCTTAAATATTGGGACGATAAGTGATTGTGACCAGTCAAAGGGGATTATGTCTAACTCCCAGATTTTAGCTAAAATATTAGTTAACCTAATCGCTAAAATTGGACCGCTATCCTTAAAGACCTCTGGGGCCAATCCATCTGGACCAGCTGCCCTTCCTCGTTTTAGATTAACTATAGCCTTTTGAACTTCAGCTAGAGTTGGAGGACCTACTTCAATGTTCCATTCATACTGTCTGGGAATAGAGGGTAGTTGTAGAGTATCTGAAGGCCAACTGAACTGCTCCTTAAAATGTCCCGACCATCGTTCTAAACGTCTGGACTGGGAGCAGATGAGATTGTCGTCTTTTTCCGAAATAGTCTGACTTACACTTGACTTATTAATTCCAGTTTCTTTTATTAGTCTGTAGAGTTGTCTTGTGTTCACTATAGCCGCCGCCTTTTCCATCTCTTTTGCTTTCGTTGCCAACCACTGCTCACGATCGTTCATTAGACTTTTGCTTAACCTAGATCTGATTTGTTTACGCTCTTCATCGTGTTCAGAACCTGATGGGATGAGTTTACGAGAATCTATCGGTGCAATAGACCTTAAAGAAATCCATTGGTTCTTTGTAACCCTGTGGTTTAAATCACTAGTAGATGACACTGGTGTTTCCACAGCCGCTTGTATAACTTTCCAATCAACATCGCGGTCAGCCTCGTTTTTAGAACTACCTAAGTATGACCTCAGTTGTTCCTGGAACCTACTTTTGGTTTTCTCATTACTCAATTCGGTTCTAATGAGTCTTTTTTGTGTGGCTTTTTTTGCGTCCAGTGAGGCGCAAGCAGATGCGTGCTCGTATTAGAGCATGGTCGGAGTCCAAGCAGGTACTCCAGAATGAGCGACAATCTTCTATCGACCCTCTCCAACGATGACTGATGGCAATATGGTCTATTTGAGTCCATCGTTGGTTTGGTGCAGGGGGTCGCCATGTTAGACGATGTCTCTCCTTATGCGTAAAATTTGTTTGCTAAAAATAAACGATTGTCTGAGCAAAGTTGCAGCAGACGATCACCATTATCTGTTCGCTGTGCCGGAATACTAAAATACCCACCTAAATGTCTTTCTCTTTCGTTTAAGCTACCTACCTGGGCATTAAAGTCGCCTGCTACGAGTACTATGTCTGAACGTTTAGCTTTCTGAAGAAGTTCAGACAGCTTTCTGTAAAATTCATCTTTCACTTCATCCGAACTGCAGTCAGTGGGAGCGTAGGCAGAAACGACGAAAAGGCAACGACGTGTGTCCCTATCCTTCCGAGTTCTTACGGAGCCGTTTAGCCGAACAGCGCATAGACGACTGTTAACGGGGATCCACTCAAATGCCGCTTGTTCCGCCCTCATGCTTAGTGCTATGCCTACACCTGCCAGTCCACGAGAACTAGCCATCGGGTCGCCAGATACACGGAGGGTGTATCTCGTCGGCACTCCGTTTTGCCGAGGTGAGGTCAAGTGAATGACCACACTAGGATCCTGTATGCGTGTTTCGGAGAAACAACATACATCAATCGTACGAGATTCTAAGGTTTTAGCCAAGGATGCCTGCTGACCGATTTGGCATAGTGTGCGTACGTTGAAGGCTCCAATGTGTAGTTTGGAGCGAGGTTTCAGTAGACCTGGGACAGTGTTTTGCGCACAAGAATCGTTGGCTATGGTGACACAAGGAGGAAGCCGAAAGAGGGAGTTTAGATTTGAAAATCGATGTAAGAGGAATAATAGGAATTGAAGAGGGAGGTTGATTATGAACACAGTGGTCTTGAGTGCTGTTAGAGGTATGAGGGCGGTTATCACTTCCCGGTTGCCCACACCGTAGAAGGGTTCTGCTGGAGGTACCTGAAAAGGAAATTGGATTAGAGGTGGTCTCAGTGACCTGAGAGCGTGACTGTAGTGCCCAAGGGATAGCTGCTTGAGGTCGGTCACACACTACCTTTTTATGAGTAATTTTTGTGTTAGCTCCGTACTTGTTGAGACCATACCGCCGGAGACGGATATCTATGGGATAAGGCGAGGTGTGCATTTTTAGGGTCGACCTTTTCTAACCCCTCCCTTCCCTTTGGGAAGGCAGCATCGCCGTCATGCTGGTTTTCTGAAGGAAACACCTTACTGCTGTCACACCTCTGTACAGTCAGCAGTACGACTTCGCCTTCGGACCTTGGTTTTGTTGCTTTTAGTCTTACCGCTCTTCAACCGACCTGTCTGGCATCGTAGGACCTTGAGGAACGGTTGTTCCAGCCAGTATAGCTCAGTTGCCTCATCACGATAGGCAAGCCCGAACAACACGTCAAGGTAGCAACAACGGTCAGGTGTATATATATATATATATTTATATATATATATATAGAGAGAGAGAGAGATCCGACCTCAGATGTTTAATGGCTACGGTTTCGGTAAATTTAAGACTAGAGTTTGATTGCAGACTCACAATCATGAGAGATTTCGATATATAAACCTGATTTGTGTCAAAATGATATGCTTTGGAACGGCACTACTGAAGGCTTATAGTCCAATCAACCTTTTAAATATACGTTCTTGGAGTCGAAAGTAAACTTTTTTCTATTCTACCAACCTAACTGCCTTAGCAGATAAATGTAAATTTATGCATCCAGTTGGATGTAACGTAATAGAGGTTCCTATCGATCTTTGACCGCATTAAAGAACATATCATTTATAAGAGATAATCAGCTTGACTGCAAGATACGCTCTGGTCAGTGTTTTTTAATACTTTGTTTATTGTCACTGTA